CTCCCTTTCCTCCCATTCTTCGGTATCTAAAATTGAATTAATTATTATTTTAAAAATTTGAAAACCTGGATTATTATACAATCTATTAAAAAACTTACGTGGAGGGCTTTGTTGTAAAAAAACCTCCTCCTCCTCTCCATATACGGGTCTGCGGTATTCAATATTATTCAGCATTTTTTATTATAATTTTTCTCTCTCTCTCTTTCTCTCGTCGCCGTGGACTTCGACTGTTTGCTGGTGACTCCTGGGAGACTTTTATATGGACCATCGCTATCTCTTTGTAACAAATATGTCTCGTTAGGAGAGGGTGGCAAATGTGCAAAATCAGCATAGCCTAACGTAATAGTAACATCATATGTCGCACATGCAGTCAACCGCATCCTCACATTGATGTATCAGCACATTACCGTTTCTTTACCGTTTCATTACCGTTTCTTACCGTTTCATTACCGTTTCTTTACCGTTTCTTTACCGTTTCTTTACAGTTTCTTTACCGTTTCTTTACCGTTTCTTTACCGTTTCTTTACCGTTCTTTACCGTTTACGTTACCGTTTCATTACCATTTCATTACCATTTCATTACCGTTTCTTTACTGTTTCACTCCCGTTATTTACCGTTTCGTTACCGTTCCTTACCGTTTCATTACCGTTTTTAACCGTTTTTTTACCGTTTATGTTACCGTTTCTTTACCGTTTTTACCGTTCTTTACTGTTTCACTCCCGTTATTTACCGTTTCTTTACTATTTCTTTACCGTTTCTTTACCGTTTTTGACCGTTTCATACCGTTTCTTTACCATTCTTTACCGTTTCTTTACCGTTCCATTACCGTTTCTTTACCGTTTTTTACCATTTCATACCGTTTCTTTACCATTCTTTATCGTTTCTTTATGTAACCTTTGATATGTATAATAAATTTTATTATAATATTTTACTTTTTATTATAATGTTACATTTATCGATTATATTAGTAAATTTTATGTGAAATTATTACAATAAATATTGTGTGCTCTCTTACTATTATCGGCCGACTATTTCTCATTTTTTATCCTCCCTCAGTATTCACGATAATGCCTACCCGCTATCGCGTTCCTGGAATTCCTCCAACGATGCTAATGTGGGCTCGACGATGCGTCGCTCGTACCAATCCTCTAAGTTGGATGTGGAAAAGAGTTCAGAAGTAGGTATTATATAGGGGTTCTAACTCAGGTCCTCCGAGGGGGTGTGAGGGGCGGGGGGTACCGCGGGCGAGGGGGGTATGACGTCACCGCGGGGGGGG